AAAAAATAAATGAAAATAAAATAAATAAATAAAATTTGCTCTGCTCTTCAGGGTACATTAGATTGTGGGACAGCATTCCCCTGTGATTCACTGAATCACAATGGAATGGGCAAGCAGATTATCGCCTTCTCTGCAGCCTTGGGCTGAGCCCGGAGGAGCTGTGGTTTGAGTGCTGCTGTATGGGGAGAAACGTGCAGGAAAAATGTATGGCGGCTGCTTGCATAACGATTACAGTCTTGGAACTCCTATGGGCAGTTCAACTCCATTCTGCAAGGTCACTAGGCAGCAAAGCCGCCAGGGCAACTGGGTTTGGTTTCTTTGCTTTCCTTTTTTTTTTTTATTTTTCTTTTGTTACCCGGGAAAAATTAAAGGGGGAATTCTTCAACCTTCCTCTTTTGGGGTTTTTCCCCCCTGCTAATCCGAAGTCATTTTTTTAGGAGGCTGGGGGCGGGCTACTAATCTAAGGTCAAGTCAACAGCCCAAGGACAGAATTGTGAGTAGGCAGGGTTCACTTTGGAGAGGCTAGGAGTAGGCTACCTCCTTTAGTCCCTTCCCCTGCGAAAACGGGTAGGTGTTAGAGAATGGGCTTTTTGGATAGGAGGGAGTCTGGGGCGGATGAGGATGACGACTTCTCTGGCTAGAGAGGAAATTTGGGATTAAGAGGACTTTACTGAGTCCCAATAATAACCAAACAACTGGTGTTGTCCAGGACGGGAAAGTGGGAGGCAGGAAGCCCAGAGGCTCAAGCTGGTTTCTCCGCGTCGGCTCAGGAATTTACTTTCAGCAGATACGTGGGACCCAGTCAGTGTCCGGCACGGCGTCTGTCCAAGCACCGGGACATAAAGCCGAGGGCCAGGAGGTCTTAGCCTTGGAGGGGCTCACAGTTTAGCAAAAAGGGGTTAACGTTCCCCATGGGCGTCGATAACCTTTAACCTGCGCGCTCTCCAGGGAAAGTTTTATCTAAAGCTATTCCAGACTTTCCTTCCAAGGATTTCAAAACAGAAAACGAGATCCGCGATGGAGGTGGAGACAAGAAGAGTTTTCATAGATGGATGCCAGCTTGGGTGCAGGCCGACGAGGAGCCGGGGTGGCAGTGTCTACCGGCAGGAGTCAATCAGGAGCATCCCTCGCATTGGCACGCTCTGGCTTGGCGGCTCGGACGCAGCCAGGCTGGGCAGCTGGCAGCCAGGAGCCGGGCAGGGGCCAAGCAGAGGTCTGGGGAGGCTACGCGCCTCGCGCCTAGAGGGGCGGCGTCCTGGGCTCGCCCCCCGCGGGCCCTCTAGGGCTCAGGTCCCTCCACCGCCCGGTAGCCGTTCGCACGAGCTTGCAGACGGAGCTCCAGGTCGCACGGCCCCCAGCTGCGCAGCCCCAGCAGCCCACCCCCTACCCCGGGCCGGGGCGGGGCTGGGGCGGAGCCGGGGGCGGGTCCGGGGAGGGATTGGGAACCGGGTGGGGACTCGCAGCTGGCGGCGAGAGAGGAGAAGGAGGCGGTCCCCGGGCGGGGGGCGGGAGGGGGCTGGAGAGGGGGGATTCGAGGCACGCTGCCGTCCCGCCCCCCGTCCCCTGCCCGCCTCCCTTCCCAACCCCAGGAGCCCGGGAGCATGGACCAAAAAGCCGCGGCTGCACCGGCAGGATGCAGCTCGCCCGGTTCGGGGTGGCTCTGTTCTTAGGGGCGATCTCCGGAGTGGTCAGTTTCGATCCGATGCTCAGTTCTTCCGTCCCCCTGGCCACCCAGCCGCTGCTGCGGAAGCCCCGGGGCCAGGAGGCTTTGCCCCGGGTCCCGCGTCCCCTGCGGGCGCTCGCCGCCCAGCGCCTGCTCGCCGCGCCGGCAGCGCACTGGCC